TATTCTAGCAACATGTTATCTGCCTATTCACAAAATGGGATAGAGTCTATTGGGCTCACAGTAGAACTTTAAAGCAGTGGTTCCTAGCTCCTGCCCTGGCATGCCACCCTGGGCTGGGCACGGAGGCCTGGTGAGAAAAGAAAAAGAAAAAGAAAAATAAGGATTGAAGTGGGCCCAATCCTTACTTTTATACTTTCCACAGACCCCCTGCAGTACCATTGGGGATCACCATGAGTTTGGAGACCACAAGTTGGGAGCCACTGCTTTAAAGTATAGTACATTGTACATGCTACTGCAGTCGCTGACCTCTTTGCTGAGACAGTCTATAGTGTTGCAATTTCTTCTGGTTGTGGCAGTGGGTTTGAGCAGGTACCTAGCCAATGATCCGTGTAAAATGAGATAGTCTTCTTCACCCAAAGAGCCATCAAACAGTACCAACTTTTGGGGATGATATATCTGGGCTGGTTCTGAATCATGTACTGTACCTAGAGATGAAAGACTCTCTATACCCAGAGACAGTGAATTACTTTCCTTGCTATTTAGAAATTCACTAATTTACAGGAATGCATGATAGTGGTGGTTGTTTAACTGTTAACATTATAAAATATTTGAAAGTGTTAGAATTAATGTCTTTGTGAACTTTTTTTTCATTTAAGCTGAGATTCAGCTAACTGGCACTTCTGTTTTATGAGCTGTTTATCACATATACAGAAAAGAACTCTGTGCACTCACAAGTGTATCAAGCCTTTCAGTTGGTGATTTATTACACTAAATACTTTCAGGGAAGAGAAGTATCACTTCTATATCCCCTAAATTCCCATTGCTCTTTCTCCCTTTTCTTCCACACTGAATTGTCTGATATGAACACTGTCATTGGACAGCCTTTTATATCCCACAGAACATGCCAGAAACCTTGGTAAATTTCAAGTCATTAAAAATGTTTGATTTTTGTCCCTTAGTTTTTATCCCCTGGGTAAAATGACTTCTGCTGTTCAAAGCCTCTCACAGTATTTATAATTTTTCCTAGCCTTCGAATAACTCATGTAAATTTTAAACTACAAATAATCTTGGCTCTTTGGGAGATCTTTAAGATCACTGACATTACTGTAAGCCCTCTAATAACTTAAAAGTTCAGTACAGTATCAGCTCATTTCATTTCATGTTGAGGGTGAACGAGTTAGTTTGAAGAGTTCATGTATTAAATGGTTTCTTCTAAAAGGTTGTCAAATAACTATACTTTTTTCTGCTCCCACACATTCCTTTTCTTTGCAATCACTCCTCCCACCTGCAACTAAATCTAATCTAATATTGCAATGAATTAGTAAGGAAGGAACATTTATTTGATGATGATTACCTATGTGGAATGATTATGTAGCAGGAAATTAGTTTTACCTGTGGGCTTGGGAGAGGTTTAAATTTATACTTTGGGATGCATTGTTGCTTCTTATGCATTGTTGCTGCCTATTACTTCAAAACCTTGGTAGAAATTCTACATTCATTTTAAACAAAACAGGGTTTTGCCTCACTGTAACAAAAACAATGCAAAGAAGGGAAGAAGTAAAAAATGTTCAAACTGCCTTGTCCATAATAGACATTATATTATACATTTTAATTTAAATATACTTTTTCAGCAGAATTTGAGGGGGGTTGGAATTTTTCTTTAAATAAATAGTTATAAAGAGTTCCAACATTTTCAACATTGTTATATCTTTGGATGAAAACAATCAGTTAATTTAAAATTAAAAATGAGATGTTTATTTATATAAAACTCTGTTGTACAAGCTTAAAAATTCCACAAATTTCAGTGTAATAAACTTTGCTATACAGTAGAACCTCAGAGTAATGAACGCCTCAGAAATGGAGATTGTTTGTAACTCTAAATAAAACCTTTGGGTTGTTTTTTCAAAAGTTTACAACTGAACACTGACTTAATATAGCCTTGCAACTTCACTGTGCAGAAGAAAAATGCTGCTTTCCCTTTTTTTTAATAGTTGACGTTTAACATGGTACAGTAAAACTCCAATTGTCCGGCATCCAGCGGTCCGGCACTCCCGATAGTCCGGCACCAACTGGAACCCGGAAGTGCTCCGGCAGCTGCTTCAAGAAGTTGTTAGTCAATTATACTACCGCCAGCTGGATCCACAAGTGACGGGCTTGCAATTTATCTTTCCTCTACTGCCTCTGGCGGGGGCGGGGAGGAGGGGGGGAATGAATGGGGAGGGGGCGGGGAACAGCGCGGCGAGGGCTGAACCCTCTGCCGTTTTGCAGGGCAGCTGCTTCAAGAAGTTGTTAGTCAATTACACTACCTTTGGCTGATGGTGTACTTCGGATTCCAAAGGAGGTGTGTGGTTGACTGTTCAGTTTATAAGTCTGAGCTTCTACTGTATCCTGGAGACTATTCCAGAGACATTCCTATTAACCTGTTAGCATCATGGGAATGACTGGAGGAGGAAGGTTGAGGGGGCCAAATCAGATAACACTTATTCAATTAATTAACTTAAATCAAAAGAAACAAATGACTCAACATTTATTGGCGTATTCAGCTATAAACCTAAGTATAAATTAATTCTAAACAACAGATGAGGCATAAAGGATCTGCATGCCTCTAATAAAAGAGATCCCCTGAATCCCATGTTGGGCTATCAGTTCAATACTGGAAAGGGAGATCACAACTTACTGCAGCTGCTTGTTCTTGGAGGTTTCCCTCTTTCACGCACTCAGAGGGTGTAATCTTGTTTATCTTGAGAGACAGCAAGGCTAAAGAATGCAAGACTTCCTGTTGTGTATAGCCACAGTGCTGTAGTCAGAGATGCTGGTGACTGAAACAGTGATTCATGTGAAGTTCTGTGGCACCATGTGCTGCTATTGGTGCCATTACTGTCACTTAAAATGGTAGGGTACCTCCAACTCCATTATGCCTGGCTACCGAGACTAGCATAATATCAAGGTAAAGTTTGCTGTACATACCTAATATCAGCTAATCTATTAATTGGTTTTAAAGTGCACTATGTTTATTATTGATGTATAGAGCCTTAATGAAAACAAAAAGCAACAAACACTAAAGTTTCATAGACAGCTAGCATGGCAAAATTCTTTTGTAATAGTGAATATAGAGTCACCAGTTCTTTTACTGGAGAGGAATAAATCCTATTATGCGAAATTCCTTTCCTGATCCGTGTGTGGGCGGGAGATAACTCTTTTGTACTTTTAGCATTATATCAAGGCCTACAAGGCTTATTACTACTGATAACTGTCAACTCAAAATGAATCAAACCTTCAAGCTGATGCTTAGTGCAAAGGATTCAAACTAATTTTACAGTAGTTACATGGTTACATTTTCAGCTGGCCTATGCTTGACCCCTGACTCAGTCAAGGAAAGAGCTGCATTCCCTGGAGATCAAATAAAAATACGCATAACCCATAAAATACTGTTTTTCAGTCATGTGTGGTAGAATGATTGACAGGTCTTCCACAACAATACACAGTGAACTCCAGCAAACTGAGTTTTATTTTTAACAAAATATTTTCCTTACAAGTCAGTTTGACTGAAAGATGTGTTTATTTCTGAACCTGAAGGTGCAATTTATAACACACCTGTGAGTTCTGTAATAGAACCAGTAAAAGTCTATCAAATTAAAAACACAATTGCTGTTTATTTTAATAGAAGCTTTCATATAATTAACATCACTGTCTTAATCAAGGTCTAGATTATTGATGTTTAGGCAGTCACAAAAAATAACAAAGGAGATGAAAACAGGATTATAAAAATAATCTAGATAAAGGCAAAGTGAGTGTGGGAATCAAGGTTAGTGAGAAAGGAGAGAGATAACTTTCAAGGAGGAGACATTGTGCAGAGTTGGTGCAGGACACGAAACAAGCATGCTCTTTGGCCTAAAATTTTCCCATGCCTAGACTGAGACATGAATGTGTATGAAGGTTCTGTTAAGGCGTAGGAGAAAAGTAAAAAGTAAATCTCCCCTTGCCCCACAGTTCAATGGAAGCAGTAGGTAAGTTTTGGGCTGCAACTAGAGCTGGTCAAAGAAACAATAACAGAACCATATTCTGTAGAAAAAGGCAACTCTCTCTATCCAAACATTTTGCAAAATTGGGATGATACTGTGAGAACTTAATTCAAAAGAAAACCAGAGCAAAAGTTCTGAGGTATTCTGACATTCTCAGCATGAAATGATTTGGTTTTTTGTTTTGAAATTACCTTTATAGAGACTATTTAAATGTTATATTATACATTACTAGAAGATTTACCCAGCGTTGCTCAGGTGCTTACCTCAATTAATTTTTGTTTTTTTGGAAAATAAAATGAAAATGTGCATGCTTCATTGAAATCATTGCCCTGGGGTGGGGCTGGGGATGAGGGGTTCAGCTTGCAGGCTGCCCTAGGGATAGAGCTTTGGGCCAGGTGAGAAGCACCTCTCCTTGACCGCTGCAGCTCCAGCGGGTATGGTCAGGGGATCAGGGCAGGTCCCAGGTTGATCTTCCTCCTGCGCTCCCCAGCCAGAGTGAGGAATGCAGCAAAGTGCACACTTTCCCCTCGCATCCTGATGAAAGGGAAAAGCCAGCAATGTCCTTGTATGAATCTGGTGGAGGGAGAGCTTCAGCACCACCACCACCCACCCCCAGCCTTCCCAAAAGGGCACTTGATGGGGTGGGAGGCTTGGGACTGGGGCAGCCCCAGCCTGTCCCGTTCACCTAGCTGGTGATTCTGTCTTTCTTCTGTTAGGTTTTATGAGAAGCCATCCTATTCCAGGCACATCCAATTGTCCTGGAACAACCAAACTCTGACCTTACTTTAGGTTATGACAAGAGGAAGGTGGTCCTAGCTTTTACTGTTTAGGAGGAGTTCTTGAACAGACAGACAAGCAAACAGACAAACTCTGTCAAATATATAGATTATTTGACCAATCAAAATTCACCTTACAAGTCACTTGTAAAATGGGGATCTATGAGTAGCATCTATTTATAGTTCATCTGAATTTTGCCCTACATGATTTCAGAGAATTGGTTTCCATCCTGGCACAACTTCTATATTTTAATAAGTAGGTAAGCTGCAGTTATCAAAACCTATTTTCATATTAAAACAGTGTTATATGCTGCCCACTTCAAAAGACAACGGGCTGATACTAATTTACAGTGATGGCAGAGTGGAGTCACTTAAAATCAATTATATTATGTCAAAATAATACCAACATAACCAGGCCCAAAGATACTGCTTGATGCAGGAAGATGCATCTTAAGAATGCATAGCTTTAGTTAAGGTTGTAAGTTCTTCTAACTTTATTTTGTTATCTATTGAACTTTCTCAATAATACTTGGTTTGGACTAAAACTTCCCACAAAACATGGGTTCCAAAAAGAGATGCCACTACGCTAAGCTGATGGAATGATCAAATATCATGTATTTTATAATAATTTTTAATAAATTCAAGTACCAAAATTATACATACACAGTAGGGTTGCTATCAATTAATAAATTCCAATACAGATCTAAATAATTAAAAAGAAACAAATCCTGAAGACTATTTCCAGCTTGTAAAAATCTTAGGATTTGGCAAATAAATTGCACAGTTAAATCAACATATATTAGTACTTTGGTACTTAACTACTAGTCCTTTCTCAACAATCTCAAAAAAGAAAGAGAACATTAGTTTACTGCCTTTGCCACAAGTGGGAGTTTTAACCATTTTGGATGTGAATCCCAAATGTGTAAATTATCAGTTACCGTCTCAAAGGTAAAGAAACACACACTTACTTCCATGAGCAGAGAAGAGAGCTCTCTTTCAGATCATGCAGATTTCTTCCCAGCAAGGATGAATGTAAATCACAGAACAAAGTATAGGCAGTGTGCTGTCCTCAGTTTTCATTAATACCAGAATGTGTATGCCAAAGTTCCAGTTACAGATAACATGAGGCCAACAAGCAGAACATGATCTTTATAAACAGATTCTAAATAACAAATTGCTTGAGCTAAAAAAATGTTAAAATTACACTGGACAGATGGCCTTTCTTAGGTAACCCTTACCTCCCGTAATTCCAGTCTCTGGGCCACAGCTTCCAGACACTCCTGGCCTGTGCTCTCCACTGACAGTGTGCACTCAATCACATTGTTGTCCAGCAGACGGATTTGGGTCACAAAACAGTTCTTGCTCAGGACATTATAGCGCCTGGTCCGTCGCAATTTCAACCCAAAAGGCATAGTTGTTGGGCTGGAAGGCTTCCCCTTCCTGTTATGCTTTGGATAGCTTTAGCACGTGTTTTGGTTTTTCTTGAATGCTACTCCACTAGTTAGTCCTCTCCTTCGAGCCTGGAGAGGGTTGTCCATGCCCAGGGCCAAATCCAAGGGATCTCTGTATAACATATAAATACGAAGCATAGTTAATAATGTGGAATGCTAAAGATCACTGGAATGTTAACAGGTTGGAACTCAAAGAAAAACTTCCACTTGACAAGTAAAATAGATCCCAAAGCACTTTCTTCAGATCTCAAAAACAAAAAACAAAATCTTGCAAAACTATATTCTGGCATTGCATTTTAAACACAACTTTAATATCAGAGACAATCTTTGAGGAGCTCCAGACAATCAGCTGCTGGATTGGCAGGGTTGGAAAACTAGATTCTTATTAATGAATGTTCGGAAATGTTGATTTCATGATGCTTAGGCACATTGACCAATGAAATATATTTTCCAAATGTACAGACAAACAAACTAAGGAAATGCTGACTAAGAACACAGAGTCTGATTTAAGGATATTTATTCCCTATATTTTGGCAAATGATTTGACAGTTTGTGTTTTAATGGCTATAAAGCTTTAACACTTTGGAATCTCAACGTATGTGATCATTACATTTTTTTGTCTGGACATTCCCGGTATCTGGTATCTCCTTTCTGCTAATTTTCCACAGCTGTGAAAATTTAAATAGATAAAAATTGAAACTGCTTAAAAATAAACTCATTATCCATCAACATTATTTTTTTAAAAACTGAATTCTGACAAGCCTCATTCTGAGGTGTTAATTCTCCCACCATTAACCTCCATTAAAGAACCTATAATCGAGCCTTGTTCTAAATCTTTGTTGTCCCCAGGCCAGATGCTGAAGTCAGCAGGAGCTGCCGGTGTTCAGCACTACTGAAAACTGGCCCAAACTAGCTAGAACGCATGTGAATGGGAAGAAGTACCAGAAACATTAGCGAGAACCCTCCTATTGGGTAATTCCTTTCATTTTAATCATTTCAGCTCCATAATGGTTATGCTTCCCACTCTTAGCTAGCCTAAATAACTACAGTCACCACTGACAAAGAAGGTAAAGCCAAATGGGAGGGAGGAGAGCACTTATTTACTATATTAATTTTTAATTAAAAGTAACCACTTCACCATCAATGCAACCACCATACAATTGGTTAAGGTTATTTTTCAAAGCCACCTTACATCCTGCCATTTACTAGCAGTTTAAAATAGCTACTGTGGTCGAGCTTTCGTAATTACCCAGGCAGTATGATCACTTTACCATGAAAAGCAAAGACGCTAGGGATGCCTACTAATATATACTGTAAGTAACCATCTTGTACTGGCAAGTGTAGGTATCTCTTCCATCGCCAACATCTGTGTACCCAGATATGTGTGCATTCTATTCACATTGTTGTTTATTCGTGTATTTATATGCCACACATCATCACAACATCTGAATACTTCAAACATAGAATTCATCCTCATCCTGCTCCCTGCCTTGTAACAGTGTTATCATCAACATTTTAGAGGTTAAAAGGACTTGTCCAAGTTCATTTAGGAACTCTGTAGAAGATCCACAATTTGAATCTGTATCTGGAGTTCAATCCGGTGCCTAATATTAGGCTAAAAATCAGAAACAACAACAACAATAAACCGCACAGACAACCACCCAAGGAAGACAGACCTTAGCCAATCTAACTTTAGAGAGCCCTTATCCTGAAGTCACTATATTCATTTAGGTTTGTTTGTTTTTTTAATAGAACTTAACTACACAAGGAAGTTGACTGGAACAGCTATGATAGAATAAATTCATGTAGAGTAGCTCTCCAAATGTATACTCTCTTCTGGAATAAAAGTCATTATTATTTTGCAATAGTTCCACTCACAAAGCACAATCACTATTCCAAAATAAAAGTGCATTTTTATTCCAAATGAGAGTATCTGGAGAGTTATTCTAAATACATTATACTGGAATAATGATAGTGAAATATTTCCTTATGCAGACAAATGTCTTCACTTCATTATTATTATTACTATTTAGTAGTCACATAGAGGAGGAACAAATTTAAATTTTAATATGTTAATAGGAACATATGTTAATATGTGATAGATCAGTATGAAAAACTGAGGGGTAAAGCCGTGTAAGCGTTATATGGAGGAGACAGAATTTGGAAGTCAGAAGATATGGTTTCAATTCCCAGCTTTACCGTAGTCTTTGAAAGGCTTTTGAGCTCCATCAGTGGAAAGTGCAACAAGCAAGTATGGTGGAATTTTCAATGGGGCCTATAGAAGTTGGTATCCAATGGCAGTTGGATATCTAATGCGAGATGGACATCCAGATTCCATAAGCTCCAACCTTATTATAAAATAATTTCACATTAAAAATGTTTTGTTATACATTTTGGCTCTAAAGCAACACTTGCCAGGACTCTCAGTGTATTACCTGCATAACAATTATAATACTATATAAAACACAACAAACTCTTAAAACACAGTACAAAATCACTCTCGTAAAACTAGATATTGCCACCTGGGGAAGGAGGAAATATTATTCATTGAACTAAATTTAAATACACACACACACACACACACACACACACACACACACACACACACACACACACACACACACACACACACACACACACACACCTATCCGTTCCCTCCAGGCATCCTTGCAGTCACTTACAAAGACAATGCATAAACATTACACACAACTTTAAAAACACAGTCACCCACTTACCCAGGCACTGTCACCTCTATTCTCCCCTAATGCGTACACAACAAAACGGGCTTTGCAGCACTGCCTTAGTTCTAGGATGTTTTATATCAAGCTGAGCAGGGAATTTCCAAGTGACAGAGCTATTACAGGGACCATCCTGCAAGCCGCCCTCTCCTATATCCTAAAAGAGCTCCAGCTTGCTAGTTTCTTCAGGTTTAAACTACAGCAGTAAGCCACAAGGTGAGAGGCAACCTCTCTAACTGGATGGTCCCAGCCCATTAGGGCTTTATAGGACAATCAATCTCCAAATGTCCACGCAGAAGACAACGAACAGCCATTACAGCTCGTGAATTAATTAGCACCACCTCCCTCCTCTCTCATCAACAGAGATTAGCCTGAACCTTTTTTTAAGTAATACACAGATTTTGTGAAGTGCTGCTTTGGCTATATTTTCATACTAATCAATAGCTGTCTAAGCCTGGATTCCCTACGGCACCCCCTTTTTATATTTACTGTATTAATTGAAACCAACCAAATTATTTGCCAAACAAAGACTACACTAAAAAAAAAAGTATCAGTTTTACTCCACCCTCCCACTCCCCAGAAAACTTCTGCTGAGCCAGGTTGAACCATTTTATGACAATTCAGTGATCTCTTAAAACTTTTAGTGCTGCACCTTCTTTATCCTTGATTCTGTGCACAAGACTAGCATTCTTATTTGGTCACACATTAAGAAGGGAAGCAAATTTGCTCTTGGTTTTATCCCTGTGTTAAGGTGACCTTTTACAGGTGTAAATATAACTTTCTGGATAAGGTATACTACAGAGAACCTGGTCAATTATGGTCCTTAAAAGTGATCTTCAGATACAGGGTGAGGGAGAGAGGAATTGTGCTTTTGCCTTACATCCTTCATTAGAATGTATAAGAAAGGCCTGAATCCTCTCTCTCTTCTCCTGCTATCCCTTTTCCCCCCAGGCCCATAATCTCAGAAGTACCAAGAATATCAATTTTTCTCTACCCATATTTCTTGGAGAATTGTGAGGAGTAGAGAACTGCGGTCAGAACTCTCTCCAGCCTCAACTAAAGGTGACAAGAGTGCTGAATTTTTTCACACAGAGCTTTTCTCCCAAAAGGTCAGGAATTGATATTATATAAACAAAAATGGACAACAATTTGAAGCAATTTAACTAAAGAGATCTCTTCCTTCCTTAATAATTATTGTTATTCTTTGTATTGTGGTCATGCTTCAAGGACCTTACTGTATTAACATATTACAGAGAGAGAGAATAAAAAGACTGTCTCTGTCTGAGATTTCAGCCTCTTGTGATGTGGCTTATGCTGGCTTTAGGAAGACTTTTGGCCACTGGGAACTTACATCCTGGGTTTTGGGGACAGAAGTCAGTAAATCTGGGTAGGGAATCTGCTTGCTGTCTGTAATAATGGATGGAAAACATGCTTACAGTGAGCTATATTCTGCCACGATTACTCATATTAAATAATATCTTATTTCATGAGTAGTTTCACTAAAGCCAGTTGGAAAACTCATAAATAACATAAACCTCAAATGGGACTAAAGATGCCACAATCAGCCTTCTGTATTATATTCTACAGCAAATTAATTGCACACGCACCAAACTAATTATACAAACATTTTCAGGTCAACAGATATACAGGCAGTCCCCGGGTTACGTACAAGATAGGGACTGTAGGTTTGTTCTTAAGTTGAATCTGTATGTAAGTCGGAACTGGCGTCCAGATTCAGCGGCTGCTGAAACTGACCGCCAGTTCTGACTTACATACAGAATCAACTTAAGAACCCCAAGCGT